GCACAAGAGATCTCAGGTCTGCTCGATTCAACCTGTATGGAGCAAGGAGAGACAATCCCGTTTTCAAATGTTTTCTCAACACATCTGTTTTCTGCCCTAAGCGAAATTCAAAATTCAGAGCAAAGAATAGTGCGATGAGAATAAGCAGAATATTTGTCAGACATGAATAAATGAGAATTGCTAAAAATTGAGATGATTAATCACCTTGCGTTTGAACAGACGGCTGAAAAACCCCGCACTACTTGAGCCGTTTTTCTTATCGAGTTGCAGTTGACCATCAGGTCGCAGACTTGGCACGAGGCTACCGTCTTCTTCGAAGAACACATTCAGTTCTTGAAAGCACTCGGTTTCAATCATCTAAAATTAGATAGAAAGGTTGATACAATTCAGATGCCTCATTCTTCTGCAATCCTCCAGCAATTTTCGCCAGCCCGTGAAAACTGCTAGATCAGATCTGCTCAACTTTCGCGCTTTCATTAGCAAGTATTCGAGCATCATAAGCACTCTCAACTGAAGCACATTTAGCCACTTAAGGACTCCTACTTCTCAAATATTCAAAAACTTGCGGAGGATAAAAAGAAAAAGTGAAGAGCGCCAATTTTCTATTTCGCAGTACCAGCCTTGAGAGTTTCGGATTCAAGCCTCGCTGAATAAATGAAAACTGCGTGATTTTGTGAAGTGCGAAATCTGTGCACTTACATTATGTGACCGATTTCTTTCAACTGATTTCAGCCCACACGGAACGTTTTAAGACAAAAATGCTCTTCATTGCCAGCAGAAACACCTGATTCCATCATGTTATCAATCATCCTGCGGCGAAACTGTCACAGGGACACTCAATCATGCAAAAGGATCCTTCCGCTTTCGTTACTACATTTTTGAGCTCCAACACATTACTTATGCAAATTTATCCCAGAGTTAGTATTGTAAACAAAGCAACCAATTTAAAGAAAAAAAAGTGATTACCTCATTCTGCCACGGAATACTAACACATCCGGTATTGAACTTTCCGTAGAATTGGGTATCATTAGCATCTAGGCGAACTCCTTTCACTGTGCTAAACTGTTCAATGTCCAGGACATCCTTTGCATATACAGCACGAGGATCCGGACAGAAGGGAGGAGTGACCTACACACAGAACTTGTTACATAGTTTGAACTGTGTTTCGAAAAATCCTTTTGCAATTTATAATTCGAGATAGTCTCAAGCGATGACAATATGTTAGACTACGACAGGATACTTTTCCAATAAAGCTTTGGGTATTCAAGGTGCCGCAAAAGTGGTTGGCAACATCTTGAAAAAAGTACAAAATTGCTCC